AAAAAGAGTTCAAGCCCCCATAAAACATGTACGACCACTAAGCGGATTCCACCCGTAACAGGAAATTAGTCATTTTCCAAACACGAAGGAAGCAGTTTCAGTTATTCTGTCACCCTTCCTTCCTACTCATATCAGTGTACCCACCCGCCCCCACCCACCTCCACCCACTCCCCCCCCTCCACCCACTCCCCCACCTCTCCAGACCAACAAGGCACTCACTCCCCCCCCCCCAACACCACCCTCCACTCCAGGGACCGCCGTGCCAGGCGGGTGCAGGGTGACAGATGGCATACACCAACCTCCCCCCTCACTCTCCCCTCTCCCCCCTACTGCACCAGCCCCCCCGCCCGGCCCCCCCGGTGGCGCAGCGGCGGACCAGATCAGTGCCATTCTGTCTCATTAGAGCCTGGCTAATTAGCGTAGCCTCTTCCAGGGGAGAATGAGCGAGCGAAAGAGAGAAAGAGAGATGGGGAGAGAGGGCGGTGTTGGTGGCGGTGACTGCGTTCTGTACTCTTCTGGTCATTGAGGAGTCGGAGGGCTTTGAGCCTCGTGGTGCGCAGGGCTCCCAGGGTGCTTGTTTTATGACAGCGGGGACTCTGATTCCATCCGTTGCGCAATTCCTCTCAGGAAGTGTCAGAGATGTTTAGACATAAAAGTCGTGTCAAAGGAATGCCCCCAACCCGCTCCCGCCCCACCCTCGGCTAACCTCCCATCGCTCAACTGAACATTAGCCGCCCTCTCTGCCAGGCTAGCCAACACAGCAAGCCTCCCCTGTTAATGTGAATGAAAACAAAGCATAGTAGCTTGCTAGATAGCGCTCTAGCCCTACTGAGCCAGTTAATAATGTTGACATCAACTCCAGGCTATCCAGATCATAGCTTGCACCTCCGCAGGCTAAAATGAAATGGGCCGTTTGGCAAATATAGCTACTTCTGGCAGTGCCATCGCTGGACTTGAACCAGTAACACACAGTTGTTTTCTCCAAGTCTGACATCTCCTGAAGCTAAATGGAGATGGAGCATTCTTGGAGCATTTGATCAGTTTGAGTCATTGAGGAATGGATTATGAATAATGGCTCTGATTTTATCAATGACTAAATGTAATATCTGTCCTAATAAATCAGAGCTGCTGCATGGATTACTTAAAAAATACGTATGCCCAGACTTGAAGTGAAATGGCGAGCATCAATCTGATAAAGTAATATGGCTTGGGTTAGATTCACTGCTCTATAGTTACTACTCTGAATATGTGGCAGTAAAAGAGTGATTGAAATGCAACATTGACTATGTGAGGGAGGAAGGGGGGGCAGTTAAGGGGTGGCAGAGGCCTGCTGTGGTTACGAGCCCTAAGAGAGGACGGGATGGCTGCGTTCCAGGAACCTCCCTGAACACACACCAACAGACACAAACACACACATTCAAATGTGCCTGCACATAAACCCATGTTAAACGCACAGACAAGCACACACACAAACGCACATCTATATATGGTGAATACACACACCTAAGCATACACTCAGTGGAGCATGCAGCAATCAGTAAACTCCTGTTTACTGCTCTTCCACCCAGGGGACCACTGCTGCCTATGACCTCCTTCAACTCTACATCCCTTATTTGTCTCCACTGCTCTCCTTCCCTTCTCAGCTGCATTATCTGCCTCTCTCTGAGTGAGGCAAACACGCTACACACAAATACAACATACACTAAGACACACGACATGATGCACACATAGCCCCGCATGTATATGGGACTGGTACCAACAGATCCCGGTCACCTGATCCCGTGCTTGCGTAAGCATGCTGGGAAATCCTAAGCCGAGCTGAAGAGGCAGAGGTTGAACTGCACACCAAGCTGACAGGCCGGTGCCAGCCTCAGTGATGAGGCCTCTTCCCCACCCTCCCCCCACGATTATTTCCCTGGACCCCATATGGGCATCCTGCCAGTCCAGCCCATCCTCCATCCTCATCACCAACCACATCTACAGTGCACTCCCCAGCTCAGTACCAGCAGTCTCTGCTGGCATGGCGCTCTACCCAAGGCTTGGATGGTGTTATTTTCTTCCTGCAAAGCTGCAAAGCTCTCTGGACTTAAGCTGTCGTTTACAACGTGTCATTTAAGAATACATTTTGCCATTCTTCCTGGCTGACTGAGTCGCACTATAATAAGCTAATGAACAATTAACACTGAGGTACTCGACAATTAATATCCTAGCAAAAAATTTCTTTCCCAGCAACACTCTTTGGGCACATAAAATCTTAATTTCTTCAGTTCCAGCAGTGACACCAATGTCCTTTTTGGAGCAAGCAGTTATTAGTAGCTCACCTGACCGACAATCTAACATTCTGGAAATTGGACGAATATATCGGCAATCGCGACTGGCTGAATTAGGGTTTTTTGGGCAATTTTTGTCATATTATTTTGCTTATTATAATGGTCAGAGTTGCTTCTCATTGAGCAGAGGACGACACGAGAAAAACAGCATGTAGAGCGAGCATATTTTCACATCTAAGTGGATGAATTGTCATTTTATTTCCATACAACTAGAGCTGGTGATTGTGAAAAGAGTGGAAGGACTAACCAAGATGGTTTTGGTGATTTTTATCTTTCTATCAAGTTTTAATAAAACATGTTTGACGACAAGTTAACAAGGAAATTAAGCTAGTCTTTGTTCGATGGAAGACATAAACATAAATTCAGAAGGTGTAGGGTTGTATTTTTCTACAAAGGAAAATAGGTGTCACAATATTTACTGTCTTGACATGTTATTTTGTTTATTTATTAGTAAAAAAAAGCTGTAAGAACTTGTGGGACGTAGCAAAGTCAGTGCTCACGCCTCCCAGCTGAAACTACTAACTATTATTTTCACTGATTTCTTTAATTGGTTGGTTAATACAATGTGTTGAGACTAATGCTGAAGTTTAAACATATCCAATTTACAATGACATAAAACAGCAAATGACAACAGCTGCAAATACCCACATCTAAGAAGCTGGTTTTAACAAATAACAAATGATTGATGACTAGCAAAATCGCTACTGATTAATTTCCGTCCATCAATAAATTGATTAGTTGACTAGTAATTGTTGCAGCTTGACCACTGTCAACATAATATAACATTGAAATGTAATGCTTCTATGCATGGAAGGGACAAAAGACCGGTCACTGAAAGAAATTCCATTCATATTGTTGGACTGACTTCAATTCTGGGACGTAAATCATGACAGAATTGTCTGCCCACAGCATAAATCTAAATAAGTCAAACTGCGATCTCGTCCCACACTAAATCAAAGTCCTGAAAATTTTAGATGATTTTTGTGGAAGCGTCAACTGAAAACTGGGTGCTACTCTCTGATTTTCAGGGTTCAGGGGTCCTGATGGGGAGGAGCTGGCCTGGCCTGGCCTGGCCGTGCTGGTAGCTGTGGCAATGCCGGCTGGGTAGTAAGGGGGGAGACCAGCTGCCCGGGGAGCGCCCATTACGAGATGGAGCCAGAGATAAGTGCTCTCCCAGGCCCCCTTTCACAGGCATAATTAGCACACTTCTTATCTGCTGCTCAATTCACATTCACACCCGCCTGCCATGAATGGAACGTGAAAGAGAGGCAGAAATCGGGGGAACGAGAACGGTAGAGGGGCAAGACAGAAAGATGGGAGCGAGGTGGAGAAGGCACGGTGGAAACCTGTTTCCCAGACAAACCTTCATTTGAGAAGAGAGAGACATGCGCGAGTTAATACTGCGACCGCCTCGCTCTCCCCCTTTCTCTTTCTCCATCCTTCCAAGGAGTCTTTGAACTCCTTAACAAAAACAGTGGTTTGTGCATCAAACTGCAATTTGGTAAAACAAAGCTATCTGGGGGTATAATCATCCTAATCAGCAAGAAAAAAATAAAGCCTTTGCAGATATTTCTAGATTATTCCGCCCTTGGTGATCTATTTCTCCCCCCGTCGTCTTCATCGAGCACAATTGTGGAAATCTTCCCGACTCCTCCGACAGACACGCAAAAACCTTTAATAATAACTCCTTAGTGCTACATTTTTTAAATTGCTTTTAATATAGAGTTAAATTGGTGGTGTGTTTTCCCTTTTTCCCCTGTTTCCAACACACACAAGCTGTGTATTGTGTGAGCGCCCTGCTCTCTGGGAGAAGATAACAGGGGCCCCATCGTCTTACTGAGCTGAGCTAATATAAACAGGTTTGTTTGGTGTTGAAACAGTGTCGGCTGCTAAACTCCAAACCCACAATAAAGAGGACATGTGTCATTATGTCGATAAATCACAGCGGTGATGCATCGGGGGCAAGTTTTGTACCTGCTGGAAAGAATTCTACTTCTCTGCTTTTAACTGTATACATATAATGATGTTATATTTGTGAAGTAATAATATTTTAATATCCTCTGTATACACTGATGTCTGTGTGTGTGTTTATATGTGTATATTAAAAGTTCCTCAGGTCTATTATTGCCGTATTCGTACATCAACAGGACTGCCTTGACGCTGAAAGATCTTTATTCTCTTGCTTTGATTTTTGAAAGGCATCCATCAGCCACGTGTGTGTCTGAGTGTGTGTGTGTGAGTGTACGCTTGAAACAATTTATGTATGCAGGTTTAGAGTTTCAGATTTGGATTTATGACACATCAGTACTGCTGTAAGAGCTGCTTTACAAAGTAAGAACTCATAAAATGATTAACAGCCTTTACACATTACGCCACTTTAAAAAAAAAAAACATGAGGTAAAAGAAATCTTTGTTTGACAAAATTTTAAGATTTTCTCAGATTAGATTTTGGATATTGAATAAAGATGTTTCGATTGTGACTGACGAAGGAAAGCTCTTCGTGTTTTGTAACTGAAGCTGAAACCAAAATGGTCAATGAGGTTTTCTGGAGGACGACAAGGACTGGGACGCTGCTGACAGAACAACAAAATCTAGCTGATATATGAGGTGTGCAGCACATCTTCCTCCTTCTCATATTAATTCAGCGGGGTGTTAAGTGTGTTTCAGTACCTGGCTCTTGGAGGCGGCCACCTTTGCGAACAGGGCCTGGGACACTTTGGCCCTCTTCATCTCCTGCTGGATCTCGTCATAGATGGTGGAGTTGATGTTGAGGATGCAGCTCTCGGTTTTGCCGTTCCACTCGCTGGGCAGAGGCGACGGTTTCACCTGGATGAACGAGTAAAGACGAAATAAATTACAAAAATCACACACAAAATCCTGCAAATGTTCAATTTTGAACTCTAATACGTGAATTTTGGTTGTGTGTGTATGGGCTGGGTCACTTTACTCAACCTGCACGTTTTCTTTTAATAACATCAGTCATGTGTGACACACTAAATACTGTGTATCTGTATTTGTTTTGTAACTGAGCAACAGTTTCTCTTTTTTTCCAGACTCATGATACCAAATTAAGCTGAAAAAACACACACAAAAATCTGTATTTGACGTAGTTATCACCATTAGATGTAATTAAAATCTTAAGCTTTGTAATGGTGTAAAATTGTGTGGTATTAACTGATCAAAATGTGAATATTAGCCTTGCACTTGAAAGATAAATTCACATGCTCCTATTAACGTCTCCAGCTTCATAGACGTGTAAATACTAAAAAAGCAATGAATTGCATGCTGGGAGATAATGAGCCTCAGTGTGTGTATTGTCTATGAGAATGTGTGCATTCAGTTTGGTGGAGGTGGAGAGGTGAGGTGGGTGGAGTTATTTGCTCACAGGGGAAATGCCCACGGGGATTCTGGGATTCCAGTCCTCGGGCCTTACGCTGTTACAGTCTTCCCTCCGGGGCTGCAGTGTCGGGAACACAACGTGACCGTTATTTGTTCAGGCTCACATGAGGAACAATAAAGGTAATCTGGCTAAACACAAGCATACACACACGCTCATGCACGCGCCCATCACACACACACTGGAGTGTAGATTACACCCACGCACGGCTCCAGTGTTACTTTGCTCAAAAACACTTGGATGTGTTGTGAGAAATGTTATTATTCTTATGTCAAGCTGATGATTAAAAAATAAATGCAAGTCAAGTGAAATCAAATCATCTTCATTCAGCGGCTTGTTGCATCTTGACAAAAATCCTTTGACAAGGTAACAAGTATCCTAATAAAAGCATTACCCAAGAACCATTAGCATATGAATCATTCCATACGAGCCCTTTTGAAAGGAGACATCAGCAGGGTTGGGTTTGAGTGTAAGTACATAACATTCAAATAAACCATAATAACACCAACAGCCACTAACTCAACCTGTGATCAAAAAACATATATATTCAAGTATTTGTCTAGACACCTAATACGAGCTCCTCTGTGTGTTAAAGACAATCACATAATCCTAAAATTTGTGGTGAAACTGGAATGTCGGAGCATCGCTGGGCCTTTCATCCAGTTTTACGACAGCTCGACATGGGCTTGTCAGTCTGAGCGCTAGGTTACCATGTCAAGCTAATTGTTAAGGCTGGGACATGCACTAACTGGCTTTGGGGGAGTTGCGCCGACCCATCAGCACATGTGAGAGAAACATACCTCTGCATCTGTTTTTATGAGGCCAATAAAAACCCTCCTCTGTCTCTGGCTCAATTGCCACCCTGGCTGATTTATGTGCTTAAATTCACACCGCATTGCTCCATAGGAGAGGCTGGCAGATGGCCAGGTGTATGAGTGTGCAAACGTGTGTGTTTGTGGGTGTGCGCGTTAGAATTGCCTTGTGTAGGAACAGGTCTACATGATAAATGTTGATGGCTTTAAGTCATACAGGTGAAGTATATTAGGCCCTCAAGATATTCTATCGATGTGCCACCAGCATTCTGAGTGAGAACAGAAACACACAAACCAGAGGCTTTGGGTCAAATTGTTTGCATGCCATGTCGTAGTCACTGTGTTTATTGTTCAGCCTGCAGATCTCTTTCTGTTTTGTTATGTATCTCTACAGCTCTGTAAGCTGGTCTCAGATATGCTACAAGACCCTCTGTACATTCATTCATTCACTGATCTTTAATTCACCTGACGTGATTACTGAAAATCTAATAACGCATAGTTCCAAATCCCTCTCTCTGCATCTGGGATGTTAATAAAAAACATTAACAGTGGCTTATTAAGCCAAACAAAACATGTTGTGTTGTGCAAAAGCCCACTCTCTCACTCTGGATCTCTGTCCTTCTCTGACACAGCCTCTGATTGTAAAGATGAGCTGTGAACTGCGAAGTGGCCCCGCTTAAGTTCGGCACCACTGCCTCAGAATGCCACTCTTTCTTTTTGCAAAGACAGCAACTGGCATCATGCTGAGCAGTTTCAGGGCGGGAGGCTCCATTTTGGAGATGGGTGGGCCTGTGATTCTGTCTTTCCGTCCACCTCACCTAAATAAAAGCCAAATCTTCACCGAGGACAGGACAGAGAGGGCCTTTGTCCGCCGCTCTCACCTCCCAGACGCAGCTGACCGCGCTTCAAATGGGCTTAAGTGGTAGAAAGTTGCCACATACCTTTCAAATGAGGGACGCTTGATTTGCGGTGAGGGTAGAAAGTTGTGCTGCAGCGTTTTTGAAACGGGGACTGACTAAACGATGTTTGATCTTTCACGGAGCTTGTCATCACTGAGTGAGCTTTATTTTGAAAATGGGAGGGCTGTTAATGCTGCCTAATGCATGGTAAAAGGTCAAAATTAGCACAAAAAATTATCCATCATTTGTGCACCATTCTCACCTGTGTGGTGAGGGCGGGGATGATGTAGAGCCCATTTACATGCGGGGAGAATGTAAAGTATGTTCTCCGGCGTGCACGTTGACGGAACAAATGGGCTTTGATTTATTCCACGTGTTTGCAGACAGGTAGCGGCCTGACACAATGGAGGGGAATGTGAGGTGTGTGTGAAAACAATGTGCTAGGGTGGTGCTCGTATCCGTACCCGCTGTCGTCACGCATGTAAACAAAGTGCGCTAATGAGTGCAGTGCATGAGTGTGTCTCTGTCTGTACACTAGAAATCTGTACACACCCTTTTTACACTGTCTGGATTGGATCAGTAACACTTTGTTTAACCTCTTGTAGCACCTATGAAGCCTGGCAGATGTCAGGCGGTTTGTTACGCGTGTCTGGATGAAGTCCAGGACACCACCACAGAGACAGACAGTAAATTCCAGCTCCTAAAAAACACCCAACCTGCTCCCACACCTGAATACCTGTTCTCAATCCTAACTCCGTGTAAACACTCTGACCGAATACTAACAATGTATAGTGTTCACAGGACTAGATATGTTTCTTACATGATGAATAAATGCAGCCTTTGTCATCACTCTTGGCTTAGAGATTTGAAATATTCTCTCTTTTCAGCCACTGGAACTTTTATTTCACAGTACTCTGACTTTGTTGCAGAAAGTCTTGTTAGTTATACAAACATCTCTCTGCACTGAAAGTCTCATTAACCCTCAATGGGTGGAGCCAACAACATTTTTCATTGTGCAAGTTTGCTAGCTGGCAAACTTGAAGTCATATGCAGTGGCCTAGTTGGGTAACAAGACTGTGCATTCGAGGATTTTTGTTTCCCAAACTTGGATCGGCTTGGCTTCCCTTCGTAGCTACGTAGAGAGTCTGACCAAAGCTGTTGCTGATGTTTATTCCCTCGGATATATAACTGCACATTTCCTTATCAGTAACAACACACAAATCTGCACTGAGTGATCTAGAAAAGCATTTCAGTATGGGCATGAGTACGTGGGAACCTGCTATCAATGTATATCTGCACAGATCCAGACAGCCAAAATGGTAGATCTGCACTGATGCAGATAACACTCAGTGTTCTCAGTAAGACATAAGGTGATCTAAGGTTAAAAGCAGATTGGTGATCACGCATCAGAGAGATGTTTCTTAGTATTTCAACAGAAAAAAACAAAACTTGCCAACCTACGTAAAGGTAAACTTGCTTATCATAGCTTATCTCTACGGTCTGTACAGCACAGGCAGGTTGGCTAATCCAAAACCACCAATTCAAGTACTCGAATATGGAAGTCCCTACTCTGCATGGTAGTGGTTCTCTTTAAAAATGTGAATAAAAGAATTTAAACATGATTACTTTGGTTCATGATAGATGCAAAACACTGAGTTATAATGACACATTCATCTATAGCTGCAGAGGTGCTTCGACAATTGATCCATCAAACCATAAATCAGATCCGATGCTACAGGCAGCCACAGCTGCAACACCAGGAAGCCTTGGTGAAGTATAAATCTGCCTTTACCCCTTGACTTCAAATACTAATGCTACTGTGAGCAAACATCTCTGCACATTAAGGCTTACTCCAGTTTGTTTAATATTTATCTGATTTGAGCAGCTCTGCCTCTAAGAAATGTTTGTAAAACTCTGGTCTACTAATTAGATCGTACTGAGAGTTATTTGTGTCGTTAACACAGGGACACCACAGGAAAACATGCACAGGGAGGAATAAAATCTCTGGTACCTGTACAGGTCGGCTGGGTGGAGTGCTGATGAGAGGAGCGGCGCCCATTGCCGAGGCTGCCGTGAGGCTGCGCTCCCTCTCCTCTTGATAGATGCGATCGCGCTCAGCCTCCGGCAGCTGCAGGAAGTTCTGCATGGCGCGCAGGTTGACCAGCAGCGACTGAGACGCTGTCTTAGGGTCCTCCTCCTTGCGCAGAATCTCAGACAGCAAGCCCTGTGCGATGTTAGTGGAGTGGGAGGAGAGAGGGAGAAACCAAAGAGAGGAAGAAAGATGGAGAGCAGGTGGTAGAGCAGCAGAAGGACAACCACAGAAAAAGAAAGATCAGAGCTCCCAGAGAGGGAAGCAGTCAGGTGGCGGGGTCAGGATGGAAGCAAGAAGGAAATAATCACGTTAGAGGAGTCTTAAACAAGACAGTTAAAGAGAAGCATGAGTGTAAATTGAGACTCTAATGACAATTTAGATGTGACACTCTTAAACCCACTTTAACTGTAAACTAATGCTGCCTTTTAGGGATTCTATTTAGACCAGAGATTTTTTACTCCGCACTGTTTCCATGGAGGCAGGTGGGGTCGCAGGCTTTTCCTGTGTATCTACTTCTCTTTTCTGAGTCTCCTGTTTGCTCTGCACTTTCCTCACACTCAGCTTTCTCTCCAGTCAGCAGACACTCTCTCCCTTCCATCACTGTGGTTGTAAAACCATGTTATCAAAGCAAACATGCGCACCATCGCAACTCTTTACCGAACTTAAAAAACTGTCATTGAAACTTTCGCGTGGCCTCTGAACCCACGACAATTTGTTGCGCGTAATTTTGCAGATCTTGGACATATTCTTAGAGCTGTGTGTTGCTTTAGATAAGAGCCGCAGCTCCTCGCCTGAAATGTGAAAGTCTTGTACGGCGGGCAATCAGTGTATCCTCTGTTTACTTTTCAATAGCGCTCAATTCCATCATTATGAGACGGCGATGACTCCATTATCAGAGACGTGTGATTGGGCCTTTTCATCAGCTCTTGGCCACACACTGTGCAAACCATCGCTCCGCTTCTCTCACCATCAATAGGTGTGATTTGGTAATAAAACAAGGTGATGGGGAAAACATGCTCATGCTTTTATTTATTTTATTTTTCTCGAGCACGTAAGTCCTCTCGGGAAATGAGCAGAGCTGCAAATATGTGCTGGGTGTCGTTTGCCTGACTATTAAAATGTATATGTATATGTGTCATGTTTAAAGAGGTAGGTGTGTGGTATCCGGACAAGTACGAACACATACTTACATGAAATCTGACTCAGACTGACGATTTAGAATGTGCACTTAATGTACACAAGTATTCAGGGGATAGTTTAGAGGCGTATCTAATTTATGTTTGTTCTGAGTAGTGAGTCTGCATTCTTCAGTTTGTGCATGCTTATCGTTCTTCGCCATCAACGCCTTCTGTCTCTCTCTTTGGTCAATCAGTTTCCTCTCCTCAGTTCCTCCCCTCCGTCTCCTGTGATCCACCTCCTGCATCGACAGCAGCCCCTTCATGTCACCACTCGACAACCCCCCCGCCCCCCCTCGCTCCTTTTATTAACACAGACTCGTGGAAAAAAAACACACGCCTAATAAATAATCCTCCAAAGGCAAACTCTCCAACGGCACATTGGGCTAATTCCTCATATCAGCCACAGATAAGACGCTGTTTGTGTGGGAGCTTCCACAAAAACACCACTGTCTGACTCTGCCATAAAACACACACACACACACACACACTAACACACGCACATTTATTTTGGGGGTTGCTGTACGTTCTGATTCTAATAGATCCTTATCAGTTTAATTTTTTTTCCCTTTTCTATACACAGCGACTTCAAAGCAAATGGAGTTGTAATGAGGTTTGCTGTCACCTCCTTCAACCCCCCCACCCTCCCTCTAATACAGACAGTACGTCTTAAGACATTATCGCTGCCTTCTGTGTGTGTGTGTGTGTGTGTGTGTGTGAACGTGTGTAAGGCCTCTGACTATGAAGTGAAACCACATATTTTGGCAGGGAGAGACTGCACGCTATGACCGAGCCCGGGTCTCTCACATGGCAGGCTGCCAGCTGTCTTGAAGTACAGTAGAGGTGCTAGATTACTGGAGTGAGAATTATGAATGAGATATAAACTGTGGAAATGAAGCAATTCAAGCGCCGGGCCTTTCGTGTTGTTTCTCGGTAAAGAGGTCCCATGAAATTGTGTTTATGGCGTCCTTCATGTGATGTGTTGGTGAGGAATCTTGGACAGTGAGGGATACACTTTGAGTGTTTTGTGCAATTTGATTTCAAAAGCTGGATTGTTGGAACATTTGAGATGCCATTTTGTGGATGGAATTTTTAGTTACACCATGTAACTTCAGTGGTGCCACATGATGTTTTGAAAGGTGCTGTTTGTGCTCCAAATGTTTTATTATCTTGTGAATATCTGAGTCAATCTGGGGCATGAAATTAAATAAAAATCAAATTATTCATAAATGACATTAAATTAAATCAACCTTAAATGATAAAACAAATTCTAATGCCATCTCAGACTGTATAAATATAACGGGCTAAGCTACTGTGATGTCAACATTGGTTTGTGGACTCCCATTTTAAAGCTTCAAGGAATGGCTGATGCCTTTTTGGATTTCTGGGGCCAAAAGTGGAGCTGTGGAGGTGCGTGGGGTGGATCGATTCATTGATGGTGGCGATGCCTCGCAGACAGCCTATCACTCTAAGCGTCCACGCCCTTCATTATGCACAACATTAAGCCTTAATAAAATGTAATTGGGTGACGAAAATAAAAATTCATTCCCTGTACAGTTGTCACGGACGGAGAAATCAGCCATAGAGACCAAAACCAGTTTTGTACCAGGCTGTAAACATGTTTATTTCTGTTGTAAAGTTGGGCATCTTAACATGACTGTGGATGTCTGTCTGTTTTTGAGCCAGCCTCAAGTGGCCATCTGATGAACTACAGTTTTTGGCACTTGTGCGTTGGCTTCATTTTTCAGCCCCAAAGGTAGCAGCTTGGATCCTTCCTTACCATGACTGTAAAATGTCAATACCAATGTACATAAAATAATTCTTGCATTTAGTTTATTGAAGTTCAGGTTCCTTTTGCCAGTTAATTTGATTGATATCAAAGTTCATGACAAACATCACTTCTACTGACCTAGATCATTACTATTAGCAGGAAGGAGAATGAGGCTTTGGAATGAGATAGCAACTTTTACTACTGCCAATAATTTTAGTACAGACCAGAGTTCTGAATGGACTCTGAAAGTTCTTTTTTGTCTTAAAGTTAGAGAAGCCCCTGTTATCCTCACCCCTGTCTTCCCTCCTCACCTGGGTTCTGTTGAAGGCCACACGGGCGAAGACGGCCTGTGAGATGCCAGCCCGCTTCAGCTCATCCCTCACCCATTGGTAAATCTCGACGGACACCTCTGTGTTTGATGCCACCTGTGGCTCCATGGGCTTGCTGTGGGAGTTGCGGTTGACAGGTGGGTGGTTGAGGTACTGCTGCGACAGGGACTGCTGCGCCAGCAGCCGGTTCACTGCATACTGCTGGTTGAGGATCTGTGCCATCACGAGCTGCTGGTTGACCAGCTGGGGGCTGATGGGTGTGGACACCAGGCCTGGGTGGTGCAGACCGGGAAGCTGGGGCTGTCGGCCGCCAGTCTGGCCACCGTGTGGTGGAGGGGCGTGGGGCAGCGGGGGCACCGGCGAGGAAGGAGTCTGCTCTGCTGTGCTGCCGGGGATGGGCTGCTGCTGCTGGGAGAAGCCCAGGTGGTTGTGGTTGTGGTTGTGGCTGTGATTAGAGCCGGGTGGAGAGAGGTCAGACAGGCCATCCATCTCTGCTGGAGGAGAGGGCGAAAGTGGAGGCAGAGGAGACAGAGACAGGAAAAAGAAGACAGCTATTGTTTAAAAGTCTGCCTCAAACACCACAAACACAGGACTGGAGAATGTAGGAGAGGAACAACCTGAACTACAAGTGCTGGAGAATCAAAAAAACTCTGACCTTAATCTCAAAACATCAGACTGATCAAAAGAAATGACACAGATCTGCTCTGCATCAGATCAAACTTGAGCCTTGAAGGCCTCTAACGTTACTCTCATGACCAATGAGAAGAGAACACATTTCTGCAGCCAGCATGTGTTTATATCTACAAACTTAAACCACTAACAAAAATAAACAGGAGTTTAATGTCTTTTCCCTAACCAGTACCCTTCACAGGCCTCGTCCCTGATTGGATATGACACAGCTGATCATTCAAGGACTGGTTAGGAAAAAAAAAAAAAAAAAAAAAAGTGGAAACGCAGATAAAAGAGCTACATTGTGTTTGACCTGTGTCTTCCACAACCCATGCCTTCGAAATTAAGTTCTGAACGTCTGTGGCCTCATCATGTGGGAAAAAAAAAAATCTTGGAGAGACAGTGGAGTGTGTGTGTGTAGGTAGAGGATTAATGTGTGTGTCTGTGCGTCCACAAAGGCAGAAGCAATCCTGATGAATCTCTCTTTACATCCTTAATTCTGAAATAAGGAACACGAGCTAGCCAATATGGCATTTTTAGGGCGGGATGGTGTAAACGTAAATGAACGCAGACAGAAGGAGTACATCGGAGGATACTTGATACTTGACTTGAACTGTCTGCAAGGTAAAAAACAACAACTATGTGCCGTCATTTAATGGCGTTTTGGAGATTTTTGTGGCATCTCTTGCTTTGGGAATCTTTAAGTCCATAATGGCTGCTAGGGAATATTTTAAGACAGGTTTAAATGATGTGCTTAGAGGATGAAAACAATGATTTAACATTCAAAGTACTACCCACAGCGAAGTGAATGAGCATTTGGAGCCGCTGAATGTTTTCAGGTTTCCGCCTCTCTTTAAGGAATTCACATATGCTGAGGCTTTTTGCGTGCACGATGCCGAGTGAGTGAGTGAGGGGGCAGCGTTTAAGAATTCATACGGATGGCAACATTAACACCTTAGAAGTGTGCTGCGGCCTCCACATCCCACAGAAAAGCGTCGTATGAGATTGTGAAAAGCGTAAATTGCTGTTATGGGGAAGAGGGGAAGGGGGGGGGTCTTCAACAAGCTGAATTTTTCAGCAGATGAAAGATTAAGTGCATGGATGTTTTCCAAAAATACCCACAATAATCGTGTGTTTGAGCTGCCTGTTTCTTAACTGTCAGCAAGCACAAAACACCCGGCCAAGACGGGTCTATTGAGCGTTTGTCGAAAACAAATGATGTGGGGGAAAAAACAAAACAAAAAAAAATCTTGGTAATAATCACATCTCTTCCCATAATCCCTGGCATTCCCTGGCTCTGATGGTATGGCGTGTCTATTCACTCATATGTGAATGTGTGTGTGTGTTTATGTGTGTGTGTGTGTGTGTGTGCATATGCTCGCTCGCACAGACTGCTGGGGGGCATGCTCACAACACACAAACACACAGGCACACGGAGGCATTTCCATGCAAATTGAAAAGAGAAGGGGTGACAGAAGAGCATGGCAGGCCCTGGGAGAAAAAGGCTGCCACAGAAGCGGGAGTCCTCGTGTGGAATCCTGCCACAAAAGAGCCCCGGATTAAACACACAATGGGAATGGGATGTGGGCTGAGGGAGGGAGGGAGGGAGGGAGTGTGTGTGTGTGTGTGTGTGTGAGTGAAGAGAGAGAGGGAATGAGAAAGAGAGACGTACAAAGTGACCCGACTCTCTCTCCTGCGTTGGCTTCCCTGCACTAGCACTGCCACCTCAAAAGAAGAGAGACACCACAGTCGCTGGCGGCCGGTAACACCACTTCAGCTGGCAGAGCATCGGCGCAGCTTGCCAGTACCTGTGACCAGGTACTTATTCCCCTTGACTTCAGGCTCAAACTGCTTGCTAAATGCAGTGTGGTGAAGTAAATGCAGAGTCACATTTGACGCCCCTGCCAAAGCACAAAGGGGTGACCGTGCCACTCTCTCTTCCAGCCTTCAAACTTGGCACTTCCCCAGCTCTTTCTCTTCCTGCCATTTGCGGCCACGTACAGCAGACAGCAGCACGTCATGAATATTGAGGTTGGGGAAGTTGCCACGGGTGCGCGGTGGGCACCTGAGGCTTGTGTGCCAAGGTGTTTGTGTTTGAGGTTTGGCTAACATGAAACATGGGCGCTGGAGTTTGTGTGAATGTGTGTGGGCACATCTTGAGATGTTATCGTGTGTGTGTGTGTACGTTGGTGGTTTTGTTCTTATCAGGACTCCATGGCCCCGGAGAGAGTGACATGAGAAAACCTTTAAAATCAACAGTTTAGCAGTTTATGCGTCGATAATGTCAAACAGTTTGCATATTTTCTTGTTGAAAATGGACTCTATGTTAAGAGTGTGACCATGATGCTGGTGTCGTTTTAAATGCTAGGTTATATTTTGAGTTGAGAAGGGTGAAGGAAGGATTGTTTCCAAATTCCAAATATAGTACGAGCTAACAAAGTAAATAAATCATTTTAATTTCAAAGTACTATTTGGCTTTCGGATTAAGATTAAGATTTTAATTGAGATTCAGTTTAGACAAGATTTAACATCTAACATTAGGTAGTAAGGCCAGGTATTAAGGAAGGAATGTAGCTCCTCACAAGGTAGACAAATCCCTGTGTGTGGTGTGTGTGTGTGTGTGTGTGTGTGTGTGAATGTATTTCTCTCCCAGTTCTATCAAGAGGTGTTTAGTCACATTATGGTGACAAAAACCTGGTCCATACAAACTAAAGCACTACATTTTTTGGGTTAAACTTTTTTTTTTTTTTTTTTTAAAAATCAAGGTCATAGATACAGTCGGTATTTATGAGAACATCCAGAAAACGTCATGTCATTTTCTGCCAAGTGGGACAACAAAGCGATTGCTACCAAGCTGAAAAGTTGCTTTGTGGCTTTTTGTCAAATACACCTAAAAATCCGGAATTAAAGGTTGTTTTTTTTTTTTTTACCTGGACCGTATATTATTTATTTAGGCCCACTTAATGTGCTTGTTTTTGCCACTGACAGGCTCAAATTATTATTATAAGTGTCTAACAAGATAACTGAAAGGATCCCTACAGTGATAGACCTTTTTGTTTAAGGGTAGGATCCTTTTTGTTTAACCAGAAACAGCCCCAAAATCGCTGCCGTCAAACCCACCAGACTCCATTTAAATGAACAGCAATTTTATCATTGTTAAAGTCACTTTATTCAGTGCTGACAGAAACAAAATAAAACTCAGAGAAGCCATCTTCATTTGCCTTTCCAAAGTTTTAACAATTGTCAACTCTGTTTTCATTGGAATAAACCCTTAATTTACCCAGTTAGATGTGAAAACCTGCTGGCTCTTTACACGCTTAAATTACTTTATTTAAATGGAGTCTGGTCGGCTTGGCGGTGCTGATTTTGGGGCTGTTTCTGGTAAAACATAAAGGATCTAACGCTTTATCCAAACGGTGTTATATTGTTTGGCCATGGGAAAAAAGTTGTGGGCCTCCAAGGACCTGTGGTTCTTGACGTTGCAAATCCCTGCGCAATAACGTTATAGCACAACGGCTAATGGTGCTAAGTAATGTTAGCTCTGCTCTACTGTCTCAAAACACAAGGAATTAAAAAAACGTGCTAATCTATTACAGGAAAACAGCCCTTTTCCCCATCGCAAACTCCGCCCTCACCACACGTAACTATGACAAGACACCGACTGTATCTATAGGTTTATGGTTGGGTTAAAGTTACAGTAACATTTGCCTTAAGCGTGCAGTAGTCATGGTTAAGGTTATGCTAAGTAAGGAATTTATTTGTGTCGTTGCAATGTCCTCCAAAGTGAAAACAAAAAAACATACCTAGTGCATTGGCACGCGGGCTCTCACGGAGGACACACGTCCCCAGGTAGCCCTCCAGCTGGGAGGGTTGGCGCATGCCTGCACAGTCGGATGGCAGGGCACGCACATACACACACACACATACACACACACACACACACAGAGTTGTGAGGAGAGAAACACAGGGTTAATGCTTCCTACAGTACTTCTCTCCCACTCCAGCTAAGCAGAAATATGACATTTAAAACACCAGCATCACTGAGGCCATACTAGCAGCTGCAGCAGCCCCGTTTTTGTTTTTTTTTTGAGCAAAATAAAAACCAGATAGAAAACAATTGTGACAGAAAATGTGTAGGAGTATGCAAGAGAATACACAAGTACAGCAGGTCTGAAGTAAATAATGTTCTCAGCATATGTTGCCACTTTAACAGAAGAAAAAAAACATCAGATAAGATATGATCACAACACGCTATTTGCATGGAGGCTGTGAAAACATTTTGATATAATATCTCATCTGTCATCACGGCGAGCAGTAGCGCACTGGCAAAGAAAAAAGATTGTTCAACAGATTGTTAAAGCTAATATCTCAACATTACACTGCCTTATGAGTCTCACAACAGAAGAGTGGTGTTCCGCTTAATCAAAAGACATAAAAATATATCGGAATTCTATCTCCAGCTGGGGTGCCACTACTATCGTGTAACCTCATTTCCTGGCGGGTCAAAGGGGATTTTTTTGAGATAATATAAAGCATGTGTTGTTAGAGGGTTGATAAGAAAATCTAATTGAATTTCAGACTAGGCGGTGGCCGGTTGAAGTCATTGCTGCCTTTTGTTCGTGGAATACTAAAGCGTTATCCTTGCTCACAAACAAACAAAAAATAAAAATAAAACAGTCAGAGGCCTCAATTTGGCTCTTGCATTAGTGTTAGTTAAAGCAATAAGGGATAAATCAAAGATAACACTGTGCTCAACTGTGAAACAGTGTGGAGTAATCTTGAATTATTAGATAACAAGATAAAAATGTATTTCTGCTTCATGCAACAGCAGGGAGACAAAGAGACGGTTGGTTAGAGAACATATTGTAATGGCGACTGTGTGTATGTGTGTGAATGTGTGTGTGTGTGTGTGTGTGTGTGCAAAGAGACAAAAGTGTGAGCGCCATACTTTGCGCCCCTCCGTTTTGCTTACCCATCATATCTTTTGTCTTCTTGAAATGTTTATACCAGCGCCCAAATTCCTGACACTTCGCCGCCGACACATTTGCATAGTAAGTGCTGTTCACAATGGAGGAAATCATACTCTGAAAGAGAGAGATTGATTGAGAGGGAGAGAAAACGAGAGAGAGACTTTAGATTCCCATTGTGGAAAATACAGACATAATATTAAAGCTTGTGAAACATGCAGTAACACTGTAGCTTGTCAAAACAAATAAAAGATAGGGACACGGTAAAACCCAGCACTAAAAAAAAGCCAACTGAAAAGTATCAGACATGCAGAAAATTTTGGATCGCGCCTTCTCAAGGTAAAACAAATTAAATCAAGCAAGGCTTTATCTTTTCTTTTTTATCAAATGCCGTTGAGTTTGTCTTTCTTTTTTTTCATTTCAGAATGGGTAAATTATAAGGTCAACTGAGTTCTGAGTCTGTTGACATCAAGCGCAGATGGCAGGAAAGATATTTACCTTCAAAAGGAAAGAAGATAGCAGCTTATTCAATATCAGCATCTGGGGAGTCGGCCGATGTAAACAGATAAACCTCTTTTATTTTTCAGCTCTTTATTTATACAATCTGTTGAAGACAACAACTTCAAGCAGACTGAGGGCCGCGCTGAGCGTGTCGTTCTAAGACGCACGTGTGCTCCCGTCTCCCCTTTACAGTCGATTCCTTGCCCTCTCTACGTTCACTTCAACCGCTCTCCTTTGCCTCAGAAAAAACAAAGAGGCGATATTTTCCTTTCCCTTCCAGTTTCATTAAAATGAATGTTTTAACACCTTGCCGGCCTCCGGGCGAATAGCGAGGTTGGTGCAGGAGAAATTGTTTTTGATTGTTATAAATATTCAAAAGAACCAAACCATCTGTTTTCAAATTACAGGTATGCCATCTTTATCATTTTCTATAATATATGCGCTTGGAGGATGGCAGGGGGAACCTTCTGGCAGAGCAGCATGGAGGCACAAGCACAATGAATGGGTAGAGGATGATTCTGGTTCTCCAGCTATCCTGCACAAAAGGAGGGTAAAGGATAGCAGCTGTGCTGTCAGAGAGGTTGCTCTAACCCTGAACTCATGACCTCTCTATGCACCGTATGCAAAAACACTACTATGAGGTCTCATCGATGTTCAACTGGAACACACCGCAAAACTTTGTGGCACAAATATGAGTAAAGTTAATGGGAGGATCCAACAGGAGCAAGATGGACACAAGTTTACATTATCAAACAGCAACAGGAAGGGATATGCTCAAGGCTGAACTTAGCTTTAAGAACTATTTTAATCAAGTTATTTCTCCTCCTACATACAGTTAAAAGATGGATGTTTATGGCTGGTAACACTGTGCAAATTTAAGAAAGCAAGTGTTCTCCAAAGACATAGAGTGTGGCAGGAATAATAAGGACGCATTTTTCCGGGTCTCTCGTCTCAGAGTCAGTGGGTTTTCTGAATGGGTTTATGCCCATTCAATGCCTGAAATAAGCTTTGTGGTTAACAAAAGCTTAAGAGATTGTCTTTAAAAAAGCCGGTCACTAACACGTGGCTAAATGATACTACAGAACCCCATCATGCCAATCATGGCGTTACAGCTTTGTTGTGGTGGCGACACTGAAGTCATGTGACCGTAGTGTAGTTTGTTTATAGGCTAATGTTAGCTTTTCACAAAATTCACAACAGCTGTGTTCATTTATCAGGCTGTTCTCATCATGCACGGTTCGTAAGTTTTCTTACAAAATGTAATGCACCAAAATTCATACATATCCCACATAATGATGAGCCAGTAATTCGTAACCATAACCCATGGCTAATGCATAACCAGTGTATTTTGGAAGGCTGCGATCACAAGACTAATGCACTGACGGGGATAAAGAAGGAAACCGTCCCGAGTGGTCCATAAGGAGGCACACTGGAGCGGGGACTTTCCCTTGGGACATTCCCCAGGAGAACAGTGTTTGGTACCATGTGAACTTCGAGTGAACTTCATTACATTTTAAGGCATGTCGTCACCATGGCTCTTTTCCTAAAACTAACCGAAACGTAACTTTATACTAATTACGTAACTCTACGTTGAGGATGTAACGTCATCTGCGGGGTGCTAATTCATGAGCTATCCTAAAGACTGCAGTGCGTGCATTTTCGTAGGATATCATGTGAGCCGCTATATGAGGATACGTTGTGAAGATTATTTTGCAGAATATAAAATATACATATCGTAAACTTTGTTTGCCACAGGTGTTATTTTTGGCAATCATCCAAAACCCAGTGGAAAAATCCCATCGGCTTTTGTCGAGGGAACCAGGGCGACGCTAACTTCCGGGTTGACCTACAAAAAACCGTCATCCCCGCACCACTTTATACACTGTGCTAGATGCCACTGAGAGCAATCAACAGCAATAACTGCTATGGAAGAGTCCACTAACATGTCGCGGCTCTTTTCATTTCAACCAAAGTAGCAAAAACCGCCGTCATGGAAGTGACTCTCACGGTGAGTCTCACCATACCTGCTCGTACCAGTTAGAGTCAAACGCGGTTGCACTTTGTTACGCCCATTCAGCAGCTGGGAGTGAATTTGTGCAAACCATACTGTGGTGTACCACGCTGTCACGCTGCAAATCAGGAGGGTGAAGAGGTCTGCATTTGGGCTTGCATGGTATAACAAAGCAGTCTTTAATAGATCCACTGAAAAGCCTTCATTCAATGAAAGCCCTGATAGAGTTCAGGTTAGGGTGAGGAAGTCAGAATTGCCCTTTTAATGGGTCATACATTTATGCATGAAGCAGCTCCTTCTTTTGAAATTTATGCAATATTGGCATCAGGAAATAGCAACTGCAACCTTGTATGGTCTTAAAATGATTATTCCTGTTTATTCCTTATGATAAGCATAAGCCAGTGTAAATCAGAGCGAATGGTTTTGTTCTTGATTTACTGTCTTGGTGGAGCAGCAAACCACACAATCCAGTTTAACCTGGTTCCGGTAGCCAACTCCCCAGCCAGAAACCCATGTACGAAACATTTATTTAAAGTAAGAGGAGTTCTCCTTTAAGTCTGTGGGATAATGAACTCCTCTCCTCCAGCCTGCCATGTTTTATTTACAGTATATCTGGGCTAAGGCGGCTCGAGGCAACAAACAAGAGACCTGCAGAAGACGGTGTGCCTTTCTCTCTCTCCCCCAATCTTTCTCTCTATCTCTCTCTTTCTCCGCCATCTTTGACACAGATGTTCTAATAAACGCTCCTCATTAATCAGCCCTCTCCCTCAATACATCACTCTACCTCTCACAGGGGGCCCAGTGTGTATGTGTGAACAAAACAATACACACACACACACACACACCTATTCTCTGTCTCACGCTCTCCCCACTGCTCTGTCACACACACATACATACGCACTAAGTGAAATCAAGCAGATAACCAGAGCCTCTGCTGCCACTGTGGTGCCAGCAGGAGGGCTGTGCTAGGGCTTGTCAACAGGTAGCTTGGGTGTGTGTGTGTGTGCGTGCCAGTGTGCATAAGTGTGTGTGTGTGCATGAGTATGTGTGTGGATCCTTTAAGTGATAGCCATCTGCAGCACAGAGAGCTTATCAGCAAGACCAGGAAGTGGCACTGGGCTACTATCGGTCCCCAACATCTACTCCACTCCCCATCATGGGAGACAGGAAGAGAGAGAGAAAGAGAGAGAAGGAGTGTGTGTGTGTGTGTGTGTGTGTGTCAGAGAATAGCGGTGCAGCAGGCAGGTACTGTAGGCACCCAGCTGCCAGCGTTAGAGTGTGGTGCACACACTGGCAAATGCAAACACACACACAAAGTACAACCCCTGCAGACAAACACACATGGCGCAGTTACACAAATGCACACATGCAGATTAACACACATGCACGTACACAATTAAACACACACACATGCACACGCGGACACACACACACATTCCAACTTAGCCTGATGTCTTGAATCAGCTGGGGAAAAAGCACATCCCATTTGCAACACTGTGCCTTGTCTCTCGCCAACATCTAACACAGCTCAATTATGGCACATATCCACCTCAACTGGGATGACCCCCCCCCCCCTTCAGCCACACACACACACACACACACACACACACATATGCACATATACACAGGCACACACGTACACTGGCAACCAGGTTGTGCCTATGGCTGCCGAGGTGGTGAAGGCCTGCAAAGATGGCATTTTGATGACTATTTGCTGCTACGCAACGCAGCAGCTGGTGCATCAGGGGCCGCCCAGTGAGAGTGAGCAGGGGGTGGGCAAGAAGAGGTGGTGGCAATGGGAAAGAGTGGGGTGAGGTGGGGAGGGGATCTCGTTTGTTGCCATAGTTTCTGTGAACATGGGCAAGGGGGTTGCTAAGCTTGGTAGCAACCTCAGAGAAAAATAATAAGCCTGATTGGCTGATTGAGGCAGAATCAGGAGAAGTTTTATTTAGGCGATGATTCTGCGAGCTGTGAATCTTTAAGGTTGCTTTATACGTGTGCAGGTTGGAATCAGTTCCTCCTGCAGAATGACAATGGGCGTGAGTGAATACATTTTCTCTCACAGAGCTTCCTCGTGCCATTTGTAGCCCAAACACACAAAGCATGACTCCCCGCTACAAAAGATTCAAACTAAATGTTTGACAAGACTCCGGACAAAAGCGGCATTTCACAAAATAACCCCCCGCCGCCCTCCCCTCCCTGCTCCACCACCCCTCCTCCCCATCTCTCATCAGAGCTCTGTTCAGAGGTGGCTAATTCTCTTTCACTCACTTGCTGTGATTCTCTCATCTGTTAACCTCTCTTTTCGGTCTCAGGATTACGCAGCAGAATATCATGGAAACACTAATCCTAAAAAGGTGCCAATCTTCTGTTCCCTCCTGCAACGCCCCTTTCTCCTCCCACTCATTTCACTTTTTCTGCTCAACTCAGAAGCCTCAGAGGGAGGGCCAAGTGCTCCCCTGCTTCTCACCTTTACATCAGACTACACTGTGACATCACCAGTCACAGGGCAGGCAGTCCATATATCAAGGCAACATGGGTGCATCCCTCGATCCTGACAACCACTCCACTGAGCCAGTTGGGTTTAGGAGGGACAAACCACCGCTCTATGGGTGTAGCAAGCCACATGAAACCCCACAGAGTAACAGATGTCAAACGCCATCATGGCAGCCATGTTTGAACAAGGAGGATACATGTAGATCATCAGCGTATGGAGTGCACATAGCAAAGCTGCCAGTTTGGCTTTAAATTAGATATAAAACTGGATTAGTATTTAAAGTTTGCTGCCTTAACATGGCAATAAAATTAATAAATAAAATAATGTTTAGCCAAAATCTAATAGACACAGTAAAGGTTTTAAAAATTAAGGGTTAGATTTCAAAAGCAATAAAGATATGATTTTTTTAGTGATATCTGCACTCCACAGTAAGCACTGAGTTTTTATAGTAGGCTATACAATGAATAATCTGCCACCACTAAAAGTTGGTTTCCCTTCTACAGTCAAGCGTTCTTTGAATTCTGCACTTTACAATTTCCTAGTAAGGACGCACAACAAAGACTATGCTTACACGCACACTAATATTCCACTATACGATACCTTGAATATGATACAGGTCATTTAAACAGCATATTCTGAATTAGGCCTTTTTTCCTGAATGCAGCATTTTCCGACCGATTAAGACATGGGATAAACCAATATTATCCTTGTTTTAGGAACCTTCTTTGGACATGTGTACAGCACACTTGGAATATGCGTCTAAATTGGGGTTTTTCGCGCAGTTTGGGACACATGGCCTCATGCCTTACAGTCAGCTCTATGTGTTGTCATGGATGCATTGTACAAAAACCAATTAGCCAACAAGGCTGGTGTAGAGACGCATGCGAAAAAGGAAAGCCCACATTTCTGATTGGAAAGACAGACACATCTGCTATTACCATTACTATTACTATACCCCAATTCTCACCTCACTTCCCTTCAGAATTGATTTAAGCTCTTTTTAAAACTTGTAAAGCTCAACATGATTTAGCGGCGAGTTATATAGCTGAGCCTCTGCTCCAATTCGTCATCCGAGATCCTCAAGGCGACCCTAACTAGTCGTCCCTGAATAAAGGCTGGTAACTCAAGGTGACTGGGCTTTTGCCATCAAGGCCCCAAGGCTCTGGAATTCTCTGCCTGAGGAGATGAGGCTGGCTAACACATTACCCGTTTTTAAATGATTGCTTCAAACATGTTTTTATAGGAAAACTTTCCGTTATAGTGCCTGATTTGTAACTTTTGTGTTTTATTTCCTTTGTATTGTTTTATTGTCTTATTTCTATGCACTTTATAAAGCACTTTGTAACCTTGATAAGTGCTATACAAATAAAACAGTATTATTATTATCACAATTATTATTAAATATTATGACAGGTGTCCCATGTATAAAGGCAATGCTCTTGCCACAACGGCCTTGGGTTCAATTCCAGCCTTCCCACACTTGATACTGTCCTATCTATTAAAGGCAAAAGCTCCAACAAATAATCTTAAAAATATCTATCTATCAATCTATATACATATATTATGAAAGACTTGGGTATAAACAGGTTAAAATAAATATTACAACACCATCCTTTTCAGGAAGGTGGTGGGAGGAATGAAAGAGGCAGGCTAAGTTCAAACGGTCGAAGACTTTGAGAAAATATCTATTTTAATACATATTTTGACTTAATAAATGACATGTTAGGGCATGTTAATTGGCTGCATGTACCAGGAATATTAGTGTAATACTTATTTTTATTAGCTATATTAACATCTTAATAGAGATACTGACTTTTTTGGAATGAAGGCAAAGAACTGAATATTTTGTGCATGTAAACAAAGTCATTGAGAATAGAAAGAGGAAAAATACTGCAAGTGTTCGCAGTGACTGAAGCTACCACGTCTCCACAATGGCTGGCAATATTTTCTGCATGACAGTAAAACGTAAGACCATTTAATGCCATTTAGATCTGAATTAAGAAACAAATTGGCTGTTAAAATACATACAAGACAGAAAGAAACAGATTCTGTTCAAGATATTTTCAGGAAGCTCTTTCATCCTCACTGGAAAGCTAAAACAATCTTCAGTTTAATTTGAGACTGGTGTGTATTTGAAAATAGCAAATGTGTGTCTGAGGAAGAGTGTGTGTGCCTGTGTGTTACATCCTCTGAGCTAGCGTGTGCTCTCTTCTGAGCCGTCTTCACATATGGACCGTAAACAGGGTGATTACCAGACCGGGCTGGGCTCCGCCTGAACGCCACCCAGGGACTCTTTACATCATCAGCGCACTGCTCATGCCCGGCTAAACACACAAACACACACACTGAGAGCAGCCGCTAACACACACACACACACACACACACACACACACATACACACAAGCTCACAGCGCAAATGAGGGTCTCCAGGTGACCATACGGTGGCCTGGGAGGAGAGCTGGCTTCAAACTGAAGGCACCTACGCACACGCTTGGATCTAAATACACACACGCATGCAAAACACAAATAACACTTTCACATGCGCGTCCCATACGTTGATATACATTTCACAAACACACTCAAGCAAATACACACAAAAGCCCACATATCTCCTCCTGTGACACACAAACTCAGACACACACACACACACACATACACACACATTATTGGCCCTTGTGAGAGATATACTGCCGTTTCATTCCATTCACTCCAGAGCTGCCTCCATGATATACTGACTACACTGCCTGTTAATACAATATCTGCGCCAGTGCTTTCTATCCAACCTCCCAGCCGACAAAAAACACAGAGTGTAACACCTGACATGTGAACGCACGTACAGTACATCCAGTCTGATACTATGAAATGTTGAGAATTAACTAAATGAGGAAAAGAACAAAAGCAATCCAGATCATTCTGGGCTCGGGCCAATGTTTATCTAACAATAACCATACGTTCAACAACACCTCTGCTTTTTGGCTGCCGTTGCATGTGTGTGAGTTTGTGTGTGTGTGTTTGTGTGTGTGTGTCGGGGGCGGCAAGAGAAACAAAACAAAAAAAATCATGCGGCAAACAGATGACAATAGCCATTGATTTGGATTTTCTATGCCGATTCTCTTTCCCACTTGATCAAACTCAGGGCATTTGATAAGTAAAGGATAAAATACAGTGGTGATGGAGATAGGGGTGTTTGTTTTGTTGTGCAGTATGGAAGCAGGGGGGAGGGGGTTGAGATTGGGCGTTAATCTTTTTTTTTTTTTTTTTTAAATAAGCAGACTGGGCTTCAGCACCTGTGATAAGGGACATTCTTTAGCCAGAGAGCTCTGATTCATGTCTTTGAGTAACTCCTTGAGGGCGTTTCTTACTGTAGAGTGGCTCCATTGCTCGGGCGGCAGGTCCTCCAGCTTAGGACAACTGCGGAGAGAAAGAGAGAGAAAGAGGAGAGGAGACACATGGGGATGTGGGACGGAGGGGGGACAGGGGAGGTAAGACAGGGAGAGGAGAGAAGGAGGAGGGGGTAGACAGGGATGTAGAGGGAGAGGAGGGGTGAGGAGAGAGCATGAGAAACAATTCAGATGGAGAAGAGACAAAGATAGAAAGGAAAGCCAGCAGCCCTGATGGTATCTTGAGTGAAACGATAAAACACACAAGCTACAAAATCAGCAACACAATATCAAAATGATTTAGGCTGACAATCCCCCTGATATATGGAGCAAATGGGTAATAACACCAATCTTTAAATCTGGAATTAAATTTGACCCAAACAACTGTGTGAGAGGCAACTTAGGGAAGTTATCCTGCAGCATCCTGAACACCAGACTGCAACACTCTTTTCACTATCTGGCCTGACCCCTGACACTGACTCAAGGAAAACAAATTACATAATCCAAATGTATAAAACAAGTTGATTTTTAAAGGTTCAAGAAATTAGCTCTTTTAGTTGATGTGATTGTTCCTAAATCACTTTAGAACTTGCATCCACATCATATTGGTTCCTTACCCTATATATTTGTATACGTCTGTTTGCCTTGTTGTAACTTGTAGGTCACTCTTGGCTTTAACCTGTCTAAATAAAGGATATATACATATAAAACAGATTAACCCTTTCATTTTTTTTCTATAAGGTCCATTGATGGTTTATTTCTTGTCAGAAAACAGTCAATCCCAAACTAACAGAGGCCAAAATAGCATCTTACAATGTCTTGTTCCAACGCTATGGAACGCACTACCTATAGATATCGCGGGAGCTAGCTCGATAAATAGTTTTAAAATAAAGCTAAAACGCATCTGTTCACTTTGGCCTTTAACTTGCGCTGACTTTCTGATACAGTTCTGAAACTCTTTATATTTACGCTTCACGCTGCTGCGACTCTTTTAAAATCTTACTTGATTTTATGATTTATAGTTTTACAACTCTATGATTTTATGAATCAGTTAATCCATGTTTTAATCTTTTTTAAATGCTGCCTTGATTGTCTGTTTTATGTCCATTATGTCTATTTTCATGTGAAGCACTTTGTGCTAGGGGTGTATCATCTTGTTCACGATAACACTGGTATAATTTTTAACATCATATAAAAAATTCATATCATGATACTCGCGATATTTTGGCTTGTTGACATATTGACGTCATACTGTTACCCACGGCAACAAGAAGCATGGCTGAAAGCGAAATTATTATGGCCCTGTGGTGGTTCCAAAAAGAGGAGCAGCTTCAGTATTCAGAACAAACTGTGGCGTCCTGAATGTTTTCTGAACAGCCCCGGACTTCTCAGACTCTTTTAGCAGCCTACATCATGTAGGTTTACATTACCAAAGGTTTATGACAAAATCACTCAATGACACCGACTTCCATGTGCACGCGGCGAGAGAGGAGAGGGAGAAATGCTGTGCTGCTGCCAGAGGAGCCGCTGAATGAGTTCCCTCTGAGTGGTAAGTCACTGAAAGAGTCTGAGAAGTCCGGGGCTTGTGGCTTGAAAAAACCTCCCTATATGTTAATGTGTGATAGTAGTGGTATCATAACAGCCTGTCACAGGTTACAGTGTGATGATTAGAGGAGAAATGGCAGAGCATAAAGGTCCAGGTGGAAAAAAAACAACTCAATCATTTAGGATTTTACTAAAAGAAGAAAATCACCTGTTGATTTATATATATATAGATCCCAGGGGACATTTTTTGTATTTGGGAGCTGTTTAAATGTGTAATTTGTGGTAGATTTTATTTAGTTGAACTATTAATATTGTATACAGAATCTGAGTCTCATCCTGAGTTACTGTTGTTGTTAACAAACTGAAGAAATGAGAGATCATTTTTGACAAATTTTGGCAAACTGTAAAACTATATCACTTATTTTGTTGCAATTCTATTTTATCAAATTAATAATAGATTTATTTATTTTTTTATTTATTTGTCATGTCGTCAAGAATATCGTTATCGCAAAAATACCCTGAAATATCGTGATATAATTTGAGGGCCATATTGCCCACCCCTACTTTGTGCTGCATTTCTTGTATGAAAGGTGCTCTTTAAATAAAGTTTATTATTTTTAATACATTTTCTGCCACTGGACCAATCATATTTAAAACAAATCACTTTGCCCAGAACAGAGGTTTAAAGCAGGGTTGCAGTCTCAGTCCAGGCCTGTTTAAAATACTGTATTTATTGATGAAATGACCAAATCACTGAAACAATCAGACAGACAGAGCGGGAGAGACAGAGAGAGGAAACCAGAGAGAAAGAGAGCTGAACACACGGGCTCCCGCTCTTTTTTTTTTTTTTTTCCTGCTGCAAGCGCCCCTCCAAGACAGACAGATTTCATTTGGCGCATCAAGCAGATGCATCTGGAGATTGCTCTGTCTCTCTCTCTCTCTGCCTGCCTCGCGCTCTCTCCCCCTCTTTCATATTCTCCCTCTCTTTCCCTTTCTCTCTTTCTCTCTCTCCTGATTGTTCTGATTAGTTAATTACTTTATACAACACATCTGCTGGATTGATGCATGAATTATACATCAGCTGCATGTGGCGACTATTATTTCGTGTTACTTCTACCTTCCTGGCTCGTTGTGCTCGGCGAAACAATTTAAGGTGTTACTGGCTAGATTTCTGCGGCAGTCGGGGCAGGGGGGGTGTGGGGTGTGGGGTGTGGGGTGTGGAGGAGGGGTGAGGTGAAGGGATGGTGGGGAGGGGAGAGAGAAGGGGGGGAAAAACAAATACAAAACAATAACAATACTGACAACAATATGCAGCAAAATCAAAATAGATTTATATATCAAATAGATTGGCTTTGACGTTAGCTGGTGCTAGAGTCGTGTGCCGCGGGGATTCAGCTCTACCTGAGAAACACTCTGATTTCTGGGTTTCTGAAAATGAGAAATATATTTACAAGGTGGGTGGGAGTGTGGAGAAACTGTACTGAGCGCCAGTGAGAGCACCCAGTTTGTTCTGAATAAACACTTCACGTGTGCAAGACATATGTTTGACGTGTTTGACGTGTATCGCCGAATGACTTTTCGTTAAACCTGCCCTGACACTTGACAAGTGAGAGAGATGAGCGATTGAGCGAGGGGTGATGAGTGCACAAGTGCATGAGACATTGTGTGCTTGTGTCCATAAATCTGTCTGCTGGTGTGTTGGGAAACGTTACGAGCGAGGAGATAACGGGAATAGAAAAGGGATGCGTGCAACGGTCGAGGCTAACATCTGCTTGTGAGAAAACACACAGCCTCGCTAACACACAAACAATGGATTTTCCAGAACACCTTAAACTGCTCCAGCAGCTAGAAAGCCTCTGGGGAGAAGGAAGTGAACAAGAGGAGGGAAGGAGGGAGAGGAGGAAAAGGGGGTAGTGGAGAAAGACAGCTATCCATGCATTCAAGGCTAGCATGCCGGAAATAAACACAACCTTCTGTGTTCTGGCTGGTGGACGTGTTCACATCAGTCAGTGTGTGTGAGTGAGTGCTTCGTTGGTGGGTGGTGGCGATGGCGGTGGCGGTGGTGGTGGGGGGAGACACAGAAGGAGAGGGGAGAGAGAGGAAGAGCGAGGAAGAGAAGGAGTCGGAACAGCAGCTGGCACAAGCCTCCACACCAGTGCCACTCGGCTGTTTGTGTGTGTGTGTGTGTGTGTGTGTGTGTGTGTGTGTGTGTGTGTGTTTCTGTGCCTATGAGCACATATGAGCCTGTTTCCATGTCTATAAATGCTCGTATGCTGTGTGTATAAATACAACGAAGCTTCACTCCTACAGAGTAGCATTTAGCATACAATATGGTGAGTGATGGCACAAGACAGCTACCAGAACTCAGTGTAAGAAGTCGTCTTTTTTTTTTATGATATGCGATGTAGATTCAGAAGAATATATTTCACTTAAAATAGCCAATGCAGCGAGGTTTATTTATGGAACTATTTCAGGTGAACAAGCATGTATTCATCTGCTGCCGCAGAGTCATTTTTAGCTGTGCGCAGTCTCCAGTTGCCCACTACATTCATTTGATTAATTTTTTTATGAAAAGAGCTAAAGTAGTGCTTGGATTCAAAAACTGTTGCTACCATATATCATCTCACCAATCTCCGATGCAAAACTGCCCGTGCTATCTGCACATTAGTTAACATCACTTACCAGTTAAATGCAGAGCAGCTACAAGAGATAAATCTACTTGATCACTCATCACAGAGAAGCTAAATTGTTAGCGTGGTATCAGTGTTCCCATCGCTTTATGCTTAAATTGACAAATAAACCAATCTCTGTTTCTTTAGCACCATTAGGCGAGGAAGTTTTCAGTATTCAAATGGGTTTTTCACATTTCCTGGGAAAGGTCAGTCTGTTGTGTGTGTGTGTGTGTGTGTGTGTGTGTGTGTGTGAGTAATAGAGCTATTCTCAGTATCAAACATGCAGAGGGCATCAGCAGATTGGCACATGCCTCTGGGCATACATGCTATCTGTGAGTGTTGGAAGCAACGACTAATAGGTACAACTGGTTCCTCTGTGTGTATTAAAGCATGTGTGCATGTGTGCTTTAGGTCACAACACTGCACTTCTGTGGGCGGTGGGCAGGTAAAAAAAGTTGCATGAACACCTACGCACATTTTGGATTGATGCACGTGTGTGCGCGCAATTGTGTCAGTTTCTAGCACATACTTTAAAGGGAAACATGACTGTGTGTTTCTTACCTGTGCAGCTGGATCTTAAGCGTGACCACGTGGTAGACGTCCTGCAGCATGTCAGCCACTGTAGCGTCCGGTGCGTCTGTCACGTATGACAGGGGGACGGGGTTCCACTTCCCCACCTGAATCATACCTGGAAATGCAACATGCACATGTGCGTGCACACGTGAACATTGGTAAATGGGACACGCAAAAGCATATAAATGGACTCAAGTGCAAACATAGAGAAGAAGAGAGTACAAAGTTCATTTTAGCATCTTAGCTCACTGACGCTGAGCTGCATAACTACAAAGAGTAGGTGTATTTTAAAACAGTATCACATGCACAGTGTGTATGAAGCCACATGTAGCCACTCCAGAGGCATTTTAGTGCCATAAACACTCTTCATACACTTTATTTGTTACTGAAATCACAACAACCGTGTTGGAATTTCTCATGAGACTGCCCTAAAAAGTAGCAGCCCACACAGCAGGTAGTAAGCTTATGGGAGAGGTGGACTAGGATATGTGTGTGTGAGTGTGTGTGTGCACATAAGCGTGATGGACAGGCTATAATAAAAGAGCATGCTAAGAGGCACCTTGAAACAGCCACCCTCGGCCTGCGTGTGCTCAAGTGCAATTAGCAGACCCTTTCCTCCACCTGCCCCTCCCACCCACTGAGTCATTGAGTGTATGTGTATATAAATATATACAGTATGAGTGTGTGTGTATGTGTGTAAGCCTGCGCTTTTAGACTCTGTGTGAACAAGCATACATCTGTGTGGGAATGTGTGTGTGTGTATGTGTGTGTGACCCCTGCGAGACTTGAGCATCTCCTGTCTGGGATCAGTGTCAGGATGTGTTACTGTGGCTTCAGATCTGCTGGCGGTAGGCTATTATGGTCACAGAGTGTGTGTAGCATGTGTGAGCGAGGCATAAACGAGTGTGTGTTTGAGTGTGTGCAGAAGTAACAGCATGTCAGAAAACGCTGTGGCAAAGATGTTAATGAGCATTAGAGAGATAAAGCAGGGGAAAAAAGAGAAAAATAAAAAGTATCAGAGCAGAGAAGGAAATGAAGAGATGGTGATGAGAGTCAATGAGTGACGTTACCTTTGGCCTGGGCCGCTGAGCTGTGGGAGTAGCCCAGCGACAGCAGGGCCATCTCGATGAGCTGGTTGAAGAGCATGTCCTTGCGTACCAGGACGAACTCGGCGTGCTCCTCCTTGCTGTCAAAATCCATGGGATTCTCATAGTGCTCGACCACGCAGAACACAGGCAGCATGTTGCCTGAGGACACCGAGACACAGAGACGCAAGTAAGAACCGAAAGGGTTCACATTTCTTCACATGCAAACTTTGACCTTCAGGATTCAGCGTGTTTGCGGAGGGACGAGATTAATATTTAGCACTGACGATTAAGTTACACCGAGGTTGAGTGTCAAGGGATTATGAGTGAGTGATTAGATTGCTGCTGAGTGGAAGTTCTGCACAGAAATTAACTAAAGCATGAGTTTGGACCGTAAAGGCATTTTTCATCTTTTATGGGGCAATTTCTATCTCAACCCTCACCTCTCTGTCTCAATGCCAAACTCTCACATCAACGTGGGGAATCAAACATTCCTTAAGTGCACAAAAACCTGCACAATTTCAGAGGCTGCTTTTTTTTAATAGAAATACTCTCCTTTGTCATGTAATCTCTATGATCTTCTCCCTGAGTTTTTCAAAGGTGCTTTTTCCATCTGTAATCCCAATTTAAGAGGGTTTTTTTATATCAACTGCTGGAGGATTCCTTCCTGCAGTCTGAGGTTCATCTTCCACGTTTTAAGATGATGACATAATATTACAGAGATGTTGCACTATGGGTTGAGTGAGTTTAATAAGCTAATATATATATATATATATATATATATATTTTATAGAAAGAAGTATTTCAGTGTGAGCAAACATGAGGCAGCCACAAAAAACCTTCAACCTGTACGAGTCCTTTGAATCCAATCGCCACAAAAAACTGGACATCGCACGTTTCTTGCAAACCACAGGTATGTTAAATTTGCACACTGTAGTGAACACATCAAAACTTTATGTTTCAACACTGCTGTAGTAAATGTGTGATTAGATCTAAGCACAAAAAAAACTTGGTAAGGAAAAGATTATGCTTTGGGTTAAAATGGCACGTTTGTTGGGCAGAAAAAGCCGCAATGTCTCAGTAAAAAGAAACCACTATTCATGCCACTATGTCTGGGTTAAAAAACAACCGCTTTTGGTCTTGCACAGTGGTGTGTGGCTTGGCAGGCCGTCCCCTCCACCTCAAGATGACAAAGTCAACTCACAAACTACATCACTGAAGAAACACTGATATAAAAATGAGCAAATGTAACCTATTTGTGCTTTGCAGAAACGCACAATGCCAACATTTTCTTCTGGCAACTGGGCTGCTTCTTTTGGCATGATTAACTGTTTATTCACTATCGAGGTTCTGGTATCTCATCGGCCCCTCCTTCTGCCTGCCAACCCAAATCATCTTCCCATGATGCAGTGCTTCAAATCCCGAACCACCTCTGCGCCCTGAGGTTTACTAGTCTGTGTCAACAGTGGCTCTGCTGTTAGGTGGAATGAGCAATCCTTGTCCAAAGACTGCCGAATGTTCAAGAGACCCACTGTGCAAATATCATCCAATATGCCATTTTTTTTTTCTAAAATAACATCCCTGAAATTCAAGGAAGTTTAAGAGCATGGAGACGACTTGGCTTTTTGAAGTCTGTTTTAATGAAAACAGCAGAAGATCAAAATTATGTCAAAGTGTTAATGAAGAGTTTCTATAGCTTACTGTACCATGTAAAACCTACAGTGTTTATGAGGTGCCCTGTTGCTCTATTTTGTCAGTACGTCTCCAGTCTACTATCACCTCAACACACTTCTGTACATTTATTGTCCTTGCCGATTAAAGTGATTCACATTCTAATATTTTCCAATCCCAGGCATTCCAGAAGATGCACGCAGCTCTGGCAAAACAATCAATAAGCCGACAGATGCCAGGGAATGTGCTGAAAGAGCTGCTTTTCTCCTCCCCTGATTTTAATAGATAAAGATCTAACAATAAAGACTGCTGTGTAGGTTCATTTGGGGGATCAATACTGGCTTTGTTTCCAGGGAGCCCAGAGAGGGCTGCGGTAAATATTGTTTCGGGCTCGGACACAATGCCCACTGTGGGCCCTCTGCGAAGCCTCCGCGGAGGACCGCCCGCCTCCCTCAGCCGCTTCACCCTTTGCCCAGGAAGAAACTCAGAGAAAGACAACGAGAGGGAAGGGGGAGAGGAGGGGAGAGTGATGAGGAGGCTTGGAGGAACAAACGTGGTAGGAGGCCAAGAGAAGCAGAGATGATGAAGGTGAAAAATTAGGCTCTCTCAGCTGGAGGGCGACACGTAGATTAAAGGAGCAAATAAGAGAAACGGCCCATCCGAGGACACTCACACAGCCACATTCCAAGAGTTCCTGAGTCCCTCTTGCCCAAAGAGAACCAACCAGCCAAACAAACAAACAGACGAGCCTTAGCTGCCAAGTGCTATTACAACTCCGAACCTGCAGGTTTTAAACCCATTCCCAGCCCACTAAAAAAACAAAAAAAAAACAAAAAAAAAACCCCAACAACAACAAAACATAACCATAAAAAGGTTCATATTTTGGAAAGCTTTGCCCGCCGTGTTTTTCACGAGACGACACCGGTTATATTAAAAAGCTATGTCATAATCTCAAAGTAAAGGCTCCCTTTAAACAAGAATGGCTCTTAAAGGACTGAAACTTTCCCTTAATAAACAAATGTCGGAACAGGAGGGCTGCGGTTGGAGAGGGGAGCGGTGACACAGCGCTATGCAGCACGACACAGGAATAATTCTCACAGTGCTCTTCTATTAGCTATTGTCTGGGCAAATAAGTGGGAGTGTGTGCAGTGTGTGTGTGTGTGTGTGTGTGTGCTGAGATGACTAAAGACGCATTGTAAAAAGGTTTAAGAGTTTTGGAGAGCATGCAGGGGGTGGTGGTGGGTGGAAGGTGGTGTGTGTGGGAGGGGAGCTTTTTAAACTGCATTTAAATAGCGCACCTCTATTTACACGCTTTATTCTTCTGTTACTCGCACACACATGCACATGGAAAGTTAATTTAACTACATTAGTTTCATAATTAGTTTGTACAGTCTGTGCCTTTATTGATTATTTGTCAGTTATTCAATTAAATAAACAATCGTTTAGTCTATGAGATGGCATAAATTAGAGGTACAACTAATATTATTTTCATCTGCTGATTATTTTCTCGATTAATTGATTAATAGTTTATAAAATGTCAGAAAATAGTGAAACATGTTTGTGACAGTTTCCCAAAGCTGGAAGCAATATGTCCAAATTGTTCAAACAGTTCAAACCTCAAATTATTCAGTTTTATGTCACGTAAGACAAAGGAAAGCAGCAACTCTTCACACTTGAGAAGCAAAATCTTTCAGTGTCTGCTTGAAAAATGTTTCGATCAACTGATCAATTCATCAGCTCATCGTTTCAGCTTGATCAGAAATAGTGTGAGGTGCCTCTCTCAGTTTTTCCAGGATCTTCAAATTGACTTTTTATCCAATTAACAATCCGACACCCAAAAATTTACAATCACATGAAATGGAGATAATCAGTAACTCTTCACATTAGTGATGCTGAAAGCAGCAAATAACTGAATGACAAATATTAAATCAAACAAAACTGTCGTGGATTAATTTTCTCTTGATCCACTAAACCATTAATCAACTAATCGTTTCAGTGCTCGCCCAGCCCCCACTTACACACACACACACACACACGCACACACTCTGTCCATCCTACCTCTTTTGTGGCAGGTCTTCAGCAGGTGGCTGGTGGGTTTGTACGGGACCCCGGCTAGTTTGGCCCCGGTGCTGCCCAGCCTGGCCCGGCCCAGGGGGCTGCCGTTCTGCTCCAGACGGGGCAGCTTGGCCGGCGGGGCCTTGGTCTCTGCCATGCTGTTGACCAGGTCAGAGTTCTCCTTGCCCAAACACGCCTCGCTGAGATGGTCCATCATTCTCAGCACCTCTGCTCACTATCACCTGGGGAGACACACGCACGCACACACAGAATGATTCAGCTGTCAGCGGAGATATGTGCATGGCATAAAAGAAGCAGCTGAAATGTGACACGAGGGGAGCGAGGAACACAAAATCTTTTGTGTTGATATCACTGACGTGAAGATGAGACGGGACATTTTTATAGAGCAAAAAAAATGTTCTTTAAGTAATTGAAACCTCTGAGAACAGACCCATTACGGCAATAACTGTCAATTCGCTTCAGTTGTGATGACTGGGGCCACGGTGACGTTTTCGTGCTGCTGTAATGTTCCCATTTTTCAACACATGTATTATGTATGGGTGTCCCACTAGAGATTCCCATGCGAGAGGGGGCAAACAAGCCCGGTTTTAGTGCAAACACATTAATTTGCTGGGAGATTCCACTTGAATGAGTACAGTGCAGTTCAAGGAACAAGGTTCTGCTGCGGCGTACGCAGAGAGGGAAAACTAACGTAATTCGGTTTCTGAGTCACTTGGTGTGGCTTCACATTCATGACGCAGCTTGGAGGGGAAGAGAGGCGAAAGGCCGCAACGTCATTTTGCTGTGACAGACACACACACACACACACACATTTACACGACTTTACAGGTGTGAACTTTATTTTTAGATTTTGCAAGCGCAGAGGTGTATTCATGGAAAGCAATAAGTTTACGACTTCGGAATGGGGGAAGAGCCAGCGTCTGGAAACTTGAAAACAGACAGTTGCTGACTCATGAGGACAATCATCAAAAGTTGAAGACGAGGGAGATACAGAGAGGAAGGAGAGATGGAGGAGCTTCAACCACAGGTGCTTTAGTGCAGAGACAAAGCTATTGATTGAGGCTGGAGCTGACAATTCACACAAACTTTAACATGTGATCAGTGTGAATAAAAAACGTGTCCATGTATTAAACTGCAACGCAAAAGTAATTGAGTGTGATTATGCATGCAGGTTGATGAACATGAACTGGAATGCTGTTGTCGAAGAGCGAAAAGGGCAAAATCATCCACCCCCACGCTAAAGATCATGAACTCCCCCATTCATAACATGCAATGAGGCAACTAATTCCCCATAAATAAGGGGCCAAAGCAATCCAGACCCGGATACAGTCCGGATCCAGGTCAGGATTTTTAAATGACCTTAAAACACACACACAGAAAAAACACAGGAGCAGTAGTTTAAATGGACACATTACCCCTTAAAGGAGGGAGTTAAGGAGGAGAGGACAAGTTGAAAGTGACAAATCTTCCACACCAACCTGAACCGCAGCACTTGAGCACTGAGGAGCATACAACACCGCCTGGAAAACACGTCTTCTTCAAGTTTGGCCAGGGTAGAAAAGAAAAAACAAAAGACACCCAAAACAACTCCTGCTTCCCGGGGGTTGTTATCTCTCTCTGGCTTTACGTGTGCATGACAGCAACAGAAATAAAAAAAAAATTAGTGTGTAAAAAGCCGCTTTCTCCGGCTCTTCTTGGCGGAGGACTGGCAGGCGGTGCGAAAAAACAACAACCCGGGTCTGCGCGAGAGACGACGAGGTCGAGATGGACCGTGATAGGCGAACATTGGTAAGCGGTGTGTGCGTGTGTGTGTGGTGTATATGTGTGTGTGTGCGCGTTTGGTGTCCGTTAGCTTATTCCGTCCAAGTGGAGGGAGAAAACGGCAACCGAAACCGTTACAGCCGGCGACATTTAGCCACAAAGTGAGCGGTTAGCCGCGTCCATCGGTTACAAGTGAAGGCGACTTCTGCTTTAGTTCGCACCACAACATCCAAATGTATCGGCGGGCGGGCAGCCGAACAGTACAGTTAGCAGGCGAACAGTGGAAAGCAAAGCACCTCGGACACAGTTGTAATGATGATAACCGCCGCCGAGACCTAATAAACCCTCGTTGTGTATGTTCACGAACAGAGAGGGACTGGTAACCTACACAAAAATAGCTGAACGTCGGCTGAGCTGGGTTGGTTTCACCGGCTGACTGAGACAGAGCAAAATAATAATAACCGACAGTGTGATCTTGCTATCGCGTTGGAGGCGATGTGGAGACGATATGCGGACAGTCGGAACAGGTTCGCCAAATAAAACAAGCAGAGAGGGGGGTCAAAAAGTGCCGTTTACTTTCCGATGTCGAGCATAAATAAGGCTTGCTGTGGATGCATAAGAGAGCTTCCTGCGATAGTAATAGTAGGAGGTGTCCTGTTGGTTGGGGATTGGCGTCCGGACGGAGCTCCTCTTTCTTTCTATCTCCCTCTCTGTCTCTCCCCCTCTCACTCCGTCTCTCCCTCTCTGTCCCCATTAAATTATTAGTTGTATTGACTCATCACTCCCCCCTCTCCTCTCCTCTCCTCGCTGCTGGTGCTGCCGCTGCTTGTGCTTTCCCTTTCTCCTCCTCATTTCAAATGGCGTGGCAGAGGGGGTAAAAAAAATGTAGGAAAAAAAAAATAGAAGATAGGAGGGGGATGTATGTGTGTGTGTGTGTGTGTGTGTGAGTGTGTGTGGGGTGGAGAGTGTGTGTGAGGAGGAGAGAAATAATCCCCTTTATTGTTATAATAATGGTGACAGAAAAAACACATGATTCCTGCGCATCTCAGGCCGAAAAGTCCTGGTGGAGACGGATAAAAGTGGAGAAAGTGGACACACATAAACACACATGCATGCACACACACGCACATACACACACACACACACACACACACACACACACACACACACACACACACACACACACACACACACACAGCGAGGAGGAACGGTGGTGCGATTTCCGGCTGTGCGCGCAGGAATTTTTAATCAGCTTGATTAGAGTGAGGCGGTCCTGCATTTATTACCGGGTAACACACAGATGCTCGCTCGCGCGCACACGCACACACGCCTTGAATGTTTTTTTTCTTTTACTTTTAACCAATAAATAGTTTTTATTTCATGTAATATTCTAATGCAAGTAATGTGGTCGGAAATAGCAAAGTGTAAGATGAACTATTTGACCTCCAGTCAATTCTGACTGCACTTGAATGCACCTCACTGTATCCCCCCCAACACTAAACCTGCTGTAACTTAAATAATCTCTTTAAAAAAATAGTTTTTTTTATTGTGCATGTGCAATAAGAACACATCTAAAGTGTTTTACATCTTTAAACTACTAAGAATTTCATCAAGACTTCCTTCTTATCATATAAACTATGAACTGATATCAGAAATCACAAAGCAAAAGCCTAAAAAGTAGGTTATTAAAATGGCAAACTATATAACACCACTCCTAGACAAGGCCTACAGCACAAAAACTAAATATCTCCATGTTTAAGTAGGTATTAATTTACAACTCGGACGCTTAAAAGACCAAATCATGTCAATAATTCACACAAATAAATATGTACGACAGCCTTAAAAAGTATAAAGGCTACATCTGCGGTGCATTCACTGTCAAATTGTGAGGATTACCCAGACTTATATTTAGTTATTGCATTGTAGATACTGTAAAATACATATATTCTGATATAGTGGATGATTAAAAGACCAAATCATGGCAATAAATCACACAAATAAATATTTACGACAGCCTTAGAAAGTAGAAAGGCTACATCTGCGGTGCATTCACTGTCAAACTGGAAGGATTACTCATACTGATATTTTGTTATTGCATTGTAAATATGGTAAAATACACATATTCTGATACAATCATAAAACAAAGAAAAAATAAAGTATATTCTTCCCTTTATTGTCATATCATTTAGGTCTGTTTGCCAGCACTTTAGAGTTTGCAAAAAATATTTTACCACCTAAAAAAAGTGAATTTCGGTGGGATGTCTTAACACCACATGTATGTGTACTGTTCAGCAGACGTTTCCCATCTCAACATTTAGCTTTTGTTATCATCTATTTTCTCACAAACTTTACCTCCATAAGCGGTCATGCTGTATTATGTCAAACTGGATTACACCAAAATATTAGACAAGCTAATCTCTGTTGATATTGTCAACAAAACCCTGAACTGTCAAAGTGGAGGAAGAACTGCATCGAGGTAAGAAAGGAAAAGGGGGAACGTGCGAGGCTGGAGAGCGACACAATCTCCGCAAACAATAGCAAGCTGGAAGGTTTTTCTCGAGTTGATGTGCGAGCTATTGTCATTATTTTGTAATTATTTCATGAACCTTTCCCTGCTGGCGGGCTTTGTTGCTCCGGAGCGAACTGCAGAAATATCAGACAAGGTAATCTCTGTTGATATTGTCAATAAAGGCCTGATATGGCATTTGTACCTAACCTTAAGGTGGCCTAATAATAACGGTTTCACTCTGACTTTATGAGCAAAGGCCAGACTAATATCTTGTGGACACACACACACACTCACACGCAGGTGACAGTAAATGCACCGATGCTTTCTGCTAGTTTGAGGTGGAGATATATTTCCATCTTTAGCTTCTATGAAGAGCCAGAGAGGTGAGTATGTGAGGTAAAGTTCATTGTCAAGACCACAGGGGAAATGCTTTTTTACACACACATGAAATATGCTGATGTATAAATAATATGTGGGGTGAACGCAAAAGAAATTCTCATTAATTCATGACTGTTGTGCCACAGATTGAACATCAAGCTTTTGTTTTCTGCAACGGAGCAAGGCTGGGCGATGTGATCCGTCTCATCTGGCCAGTATCCACATCAAAGAAAAATGCATGTCTGTCCAGGTTGTGTAAGAACAAAAACAGGAAACCAACAGAAAACAGGAAGTGCGTACACCTATCTCGGCAACAAAGCCAGAGGTTGTGAGCCGACCGTGGAGGTCAGGTGCATGTGAAATGCTACACAACACAACGTGCTTGCTAATAAATCTTTGCAGGGCTCATAAACTCACTATGTGTGAGAGCATAAATACAGTGATGGTACATCATCTCACACAAAGCTGTTGTTTCAAAACAATGCAACAGCACAGACGTGAGCTTCTCAGCTTAGCTCGACAGTAACCACCGTCAGGTGACGACGACAGTTGGAAAAACTCTGCGGGACAACTGTGAAGAAAATCATTCAGATTTACGCACGGTGTTTACAGCTCAGTTTTAGGGGAAAACATACTGGAGTCCTCCAGCAGAAGGCTGAAACTAGTACACATCAAATGAGCCAATCACGGAAGAAGTGATGGTGTGTTGTATCGCTACACAGTAGAAACAGTACACATCTAACTCATCGCCTTACTGTGAGACCAAATCATTGTTCCACCCACCCATGTGAGGTCAAAAGTTTGCTCATTTCAAAATACATTTGTGTCCAAAAAGAGCTGCATTACGAATTCACAGCAGAAGGCCAGCGGAGAAGCTTTTAACGGAAAAATACCATGTGAAACTCACCTTTCGGACCTGAGATGGAACAATGTCTTGCAATATTGACACCTAGTTAGCACGAGGTGTAAGTTTTGAGGGGGCGGCTGCACTTAAAAGGGTCCCATATCTGTGGTTTTTTTAACAGGAAATAGAAGAGTTGTTGAAACTGCTCGCACAAGACCCTGACATGTTTGAATCCACGAGCAGAGCCTGCTGCACAGATTCAGTGATCAATTCTTATCTTAACCATTCTCGGGGTTTCAGTGAGCTGCCAACACTGTGTACTAAACACAGCTGCGGTGTGCAGTGTGGTTAAATGGCTCTGCTATGTGTCTGAATAAAGGACCCAAACTGTGGAGTAATTACTATATTTTCAGAGATTCACTCCAACGTGAGATATTATTCAGCTGCTGAAAAATGTGAAGATTTCCACGAAGTCAGTGAAGACATGAAAGTAAAAATTCACAAATGAATCATGCTGAAGTTACTGTCTATCTTAAGCTCTTTGCTACAAAACAGGTGCATTAAAGAGGATGACGTCCTGCAGCCACGTTTTTTATCGTGTTTTATTTAGAAATAATGAATATCATGTAATATTTTGTTTGTGCAGCATTTTAGATTGTACCTGCTGTTCTGGTTCATTGGTGTCACTGTGATATGTCGTAACATGAATTGCACAGACAGGCTGCTGCCCCCTCCCCAACACACACACACACACACATACACACACATCCAGACCTTCTCCTCAGCAGATCATTTTGCATCACCTAGATTTGCACGGCATTGCTGCACAACATTCTGCATGTTGACATGTTTTCCGCGTTGACATGTTTTACATGATGTTCACTGCAGCTCCCGTTTCTCTTTGGTGTGTGTTTTTTTTTCCTCTTTTTTTTTTGTTGTTGTTGTTTTTTTTTTTTTTCCTTGGCCGCAGTTAGCAGCGTTCGGAAAATAGGAGCGACGGTGAAAGCAAGCCATTGTCGGCAAATGCTCTTTTCTATCTGGCATGACGCAAGCAGCCGCAGTCATTTCCACTGTGATTGTCGGGCACCATCAGAGAGCATCGATAACCCCTGCCAGGCCTTGGCACCGCCAACAGGTGCCGGCACTGCCAGCTAGGTTGGCACCGACGTGGCTGTGAAAACCCTCTGACATCCAGAAGGGCACAGATTTGCACTGAATGCACCACTGAATCAACACTGCTGATTATCAATTAACATATACCGTTTTGTATCACACAGAAAAGAGGGGAAAAATGGGTTTTGAAACACAGAAAGCCTGTTTAAAAATACTAGCCGTGTGCTGTTATAATCACGTGCTGAATGCAGATTTAGCTCTGTTCAAGGTGGGTTTTCACAAGCCTGTGCGCCTTTGTGTCGGGGAGATACAGTACGTAATTGTTCAGGCAAGATTTTGTTGGCTACGTTTGTACAGAAAACATGAAAAATGACATGAGAAACATGACAGACTGGATGCTAAATTGCAACATATCTAAATGTCAGGAGTCATAGCATTACACTGCAGATCCATTTCACCTTCTCTGTGTGTATTACCACAGGTACTGCATGTTTTCACCATAACACACTTATCATAACCATCACATCTGGCCTGCTGCTTTTTAAACCACATGTTTATGTCTCAGGAGGAATTAAATATTATGCCTGTTTCTTTAAAAGGACGCCGACAGTCAACACACAAAGGGGGCAAATAAGAAAATGTATCTCTGTTGGCTCAACATTGAAAAGCGTCTTTATTTAGTGTGTCAGGCGAAGCCAGCGCCATCACGTACAGTACGTAGGTGTTGTGATGTCTTCATGCTCACCACTTGTGATGCTTCTAATGGGCATTAATACGATTATTTGGATCACTAATACAAATTAGTCTGCGCATCCAGTCTGAGCGAACAGCATGGGGGTAAGTGCTGTCACTGGTCTGACTTTGAGCTCTTTCTGCAAGTGTCTCCCACAATAAAAAACACACACATAAACATAATAGTATTATTAGAGGCTGCAAAGGATTTAATAATCTGTCTGGGAACGTGTCAAAACACGCCTGCATCAGTGTGGGTGCGCAGA